ATTACCAGTACTACTACCTGTATTAAGCACAGATCCGAAAACAGCCAAAATCAGTTTTACAGAGGGTTCAGCTCGCAAGCCGCGCGCAAGCCGCGCGCAAGGGCGGCTCAAAGGGAACCCTCCAACTTCGACCCCATTCCTCTTGCGTGACAGTTGTTTGAAAACCCACCCAAGTTCCCTGCATGAAAACTTCAATCCGGATTCTGGACCTGCTATTTTCCGGCTGGTCTATCAAGGCTACAAGGTGCGAATGTGTTTAAAACCCTGTGCGCGCAAGAGCGCGCAAGGGCGAAGCGCAAAGCGATTTTCGAGTTACGGGCCGCAACCATAATAAACTTATAAATAATATGTATAATTGTCTTTAATATCGAAATAGTAAATGGTTTACGATGGTTTACGTATAGCTGAAGAATGCGATCCTTACCGAAAAGAGCCGCTTCGTGTTGCACGTGCTTACTTGCCCGCATTTCGTTGCGGGCATCGTTGCTTTTCGCAACAAGGGGTGCAGTTTGGCGCTTGGCACATTCTGTCGTAACAGTCTCATCACAGTACAATTTTTTTTGCAGATGCTTGCTCGGAGTTGAGATGCTCAATCAGCTGCATTAGCTTTCGACCCTCGTTGCTTCGCTAGGATTTTCAAGTGGGTTCCCAGGACTGCAACACAAGCCAAGAGGTTGACATAGTGCGCAATTGTCGTCATCGGAAGTCCTTCCGGCTCTCAGTTGTGAAGTCGTGCAGTTGAACGTTCGTGAACTTTCACAGTGAAATGTTCACCTTGCACCTTGTTTCGTGAGAGTCCATGCAAATCCGCGCAGTACCCCCGAACCTTTTTGTTGTGCTTGCATTCTGGCGGAATCTGGCCGTCCTTTGCGACCGATGCCCCAGCAATACGGTTCTGCTCGGCTTTGGTGCCCATTGACTTCATTACATTTCGGGCAAACGGCCGACCTTCCTGTGCACACGCTTCCTTGGTCTTGAGCAGTCGCCCTTCTTCTCTTCCTGTCCATGGTCCTGTCCAGTGGACATATCTGGACCTGGACTCCTTGGGCATCCGGGCACTGTCTCAGGCAAAGCAGGCTGCCGCACAATTCGAAGCAGATGCCAGCCGAAAAGAGATGCGAAAGCAGGCTGGAACGTATCAGCAGTTGGATAATGAATGTGTTGTCTCTGCCTGTCCTGAAGTCTGTTTCAGGTCAAGATGACACTGAGGAGGAACATCACGGCCGTCAGTGCGGTGTGGAGCGGAATAAAGGCATCGCGTTGACTCTGATTTATCTTGCTTGGATTGACCCTGCTTGTCCATCAGGCTACTACAAATCGTGTGTTGGAGTTTATGCAGATCAACTGCCAGGTCTGTTCTTGCGAATCCATCTAGGTGATTGCTGCTCACAGTAATAGCAAGTTCTGCTCTTTCTTTCAGGATGATGCTTCGAAAGAGTATGTGGAGTTTGCCTTTGCAGATATCCTTGCAGGCCAAGCAATGCCTCAGGCCATTGTCCTGCTTGTGAGGATTATGTGACCGTGTGACCGCCAACCCTGTACACAGACCTAAGACCTAGCCGCATTCGTTCACCTGGCCACTAACGCAGCAACACATTGTTGCATACGCTTTCTGCCATGCTGTTACCATCATAACGGTCTCGGGGCACAGGAAGAACTGAATAAGGACAAACCCATAACATTGACAATGTCCATCCATGCATGAAATGAATCACAGCTCCTGCTTGTGCAATGGAGGCCGAGTCTGCCACAGAAATCGAGAGAGGCTATGTTAAGGTCTCGGGAAGAAGTGCCTTCTTGTAGAGGAGGAACATCATGGCCCTGGCAAGATATGGCAGGGTATCCTCTCCTTGGATCATGTCAGCGACGTCATGCGAAACCACCTGTTCTGTGCTTTTCTGCCCTCGCCAACAATGCGATTACCGGTTCGTTGCAACAGATGTGGGCCTATATAGAAAGAGGACGGTGCTCATGATCAGAAGGCACCACATCAACCGATGCTGTGAGAGCAGGGGCGTATAGCAGCAGTTATGCTGGTAGACCACAGCATACCACAGCCAAGAAGCCTTTGATCAAAGTGTTGCAAGCTAGACGTCCTCCCCAAGAGGCCATTCGACATCATTCCGCTTCCTATCCGAGCAAAGATGTGGAGTCAACCTTTTGTAACCCCACCCGTCGCATCAAGCGATTTCTCGGAGCCCAGAAGGGAACATCATGATGCCATCGGGAAGCCATGAGACCCCTCAGCGCAAGGCCCCTCCCGAAGCCCTTCGAAGCCATGCTTGGCTTTTGCGATGCCGGGACTGTTTACAGCTGTTCTTTGATTGAAGGTAAAGCCGTGGCCGCTGGCACAGGCCCTTTTGCTTGTCTTGACATGCACGGCATGAGGCTGGGAGAATCCTTGGCCAGCAGGTCGCTTGCCGAGTTTTCGAACATTATCCCAGGGCACAGGATCTACCAATTCGCAGAGCGACAGAGAGAGCGGAAGAGAGAGCAAAAGAGAGTACACTGCGTGGCACATGTGCTTTGACTGGCCTTTGTCAGTCAAACCCTTCCAGGAGATACTAACTGGCTTGCTTTGCTATGCTCTCAGGGCGATCTCCGCTTTGTGCTGCACAATTAGTGCTCGCTGGGTCTTGCGTGTGAGGCCACAAGAGCCCAGCTGTGCTGTCAGACTTCCGCAACCAGCCCGATCTGTCAAGCGAGGTCACATACTGATTTCATGTCCGGCACGAGCATCAAACTGACATCTTTCCCCTGACAGGCGTTTGATGAATACGTGAACACCACGGTCGCTCGCCTTCGCTTCCTGCAAGCAATAGCTGTGACACAGGCCGGATTCCAAGTGTGCCAAGCTTTTGAGACATTTTGGGACTTGAGGGGGAGCAGTCGCGATGTCTCAGGGGGAACTGGGCGTGGTTTGGCATTGGATGTCCCGAACTGTCAACCAGCCGCCGACGCCCAAAGGACTCCTGTCCGGATGTCATTGCTCATGTCGTGTGTAACATGGATTTTGTCACGAACTTCCAAGGCCGCAGCCTCTTGCAGTTGTGCTGCTGCATGCGACGCTGGAGTCAGTTGGTGCAGACGCCCAGGACGCGGGTCCTGCATAATCCGCTTAACAATGGATCTTGGTGATTGATGAGAACGGGGCCTTCAGTGGCCATGTAGGCTCAGGGTGAGCTGGGGGAGGCATTTGTGCCCTGCCAGTTTTTGCAGTCTGCCGTGACACACCCTTTATTGCAAGACGCTGACGCGGGATTGGAAAGAACACGACTTGAGTCGACAATGTGCACCTACACAGAATGCGAGCCGCGGAACCGGCGCGGGTGCAGACCCGCTGCATGCAAAGCGACCTGCTGTAAGAACCCATAGTGTTGGCCACCTTATGAAACGAGTCAAACGAGTGTCCTATTGCGCACGATCACGGTAAGTCAAGTAATTGTGTTTGTACGAATGGTGATGTCCGAAGCTAAATGCAATGTCTTCTTGCAGCTGCAGGTAGTTCTGCTGGACCATGGTACGACACGTTTTCGGAGAGGATCGATATGTAGAATAACATCCAGCCAAGAAGGACGGATCAGGACCGAAATTCTCGGCTTGGATTTTGCGGCAGAAAGCAGCGAGAAACATCCCGGGGAGAATCTGGGCCCACACAGACGCGCCCTAAAAATGAAGACGTTTTTGCGCCGTCTGGATGCGGATTTGGATGCAAAGGGCCATTGGACTACAACGCACAGCAGTGGCCGGAGCAGAATTGAGTCGACCCAGACAGGCTGGCACAGTAGCTACTGTCAGTGAGACCCATACTTGCTCAGCTGGGCAGGATATCAAGAAGTGAGAGTCTTGAGATATGACCTTCATAGTGACAGATTTTAATAATTCTGGCTGTGTCAGCGGCGCTGCCACGACCAATATGTAGGTGCACGACTCAACCGAGTGGGACCTTCGAAAACAAACGGAGAATCTGAAGACCGCACACATGCAAGCCGCCCAGGCCGCCAGCCGAACCCCGAACGAATTGATCTATCAACCAAAGCCACGCTCTTCCCACTCGGGAACCCCTTGTCCTCTCTTTCCGGATAATACATGTTGGTGTCAGCTGTGCTGTGAGATTGTGAGCTGGTGTGAGCTGCTGTTGGTTGCAAAGGCAGTCGCGACCGAATCAAGTCCGTAGCTTTCGTTGCATGGCCTCGCCCCTCAAGTCTCTAATCACAGCCTGGCGTGGCTCACAGAAGCCAAAAAGGCAGAACCAAGTCAGTCGTGCCTCGTGAGAACGAGAAGAAACCCGAAGCTACTCGTAGGTCGTAAGTCTGATTGTTTCTTGTCCGCATACTTGTACGATGAGCTGCTACTGACGATGGACATATCGACAGTCTACTGAACACGTGTCCGTGCCTGAACGTTTTGTGCAATTTGAACTTGCGCCTGCAGCCAACGAAACAGTGCCTGCAGTCTCGGGACCTGGAAGGGTCTTGGGTCGCGAGGAGAGCCACCGAGTCTTCGTTAGATGGTTCTCACAAACACAGTCCGCAAGCTCCCCTGACCCCAAAGAAACCTGCACCTTCGGTTTCAAAATGGCAGGCTCGATACAAGAAACAGTTCGACAAACTCATTGCCCACCTTGATGCTGTTTTCTTGGCCGTGCACTCAGTTTTGGCTGAGCCCATGGAGAAATGCAATGAATCAGACTGAATCAGGGTCGCACGAAAAAGTATTGCCACAATCACAAGCTTGGTCGAGTTGGTTGCAGCTGGCCCGTGTCGGCAACGGTCGTGCAGGATAGAGGTTGAGGACGTGTTGAGAGCAAAGTGCGGTCGAGTCAGGAATGCTGCATGGGCCAGTTGAAGACAGAGTTTAGGGTGTGGGGTTTAGGGGGCGGCCCCCCCCCTTGTGGCGGACTCACACCGCGGTTGCTCTTACACAAAGCCTCCGCTCATTGTCTACACGGCCCCGCCATCGAACGCCATGAGGTTTCTGCGTTGGAGCTTTCGTCGAGACTGGTTGGCAAGGCGCTGTCGGTGTTGCTCATCACGTATTGCTCAGAGAGAAAGCACGCGGACCTTCTGGCAGTGTGGTGGCTGTGCGAAGGTGGAACATGCCCACGTTCGAGCACGATTGCACCAACTGCTGCTCGGACGCAGTCGAAAATTCAAGCCGGTCGGTCCAAATTGCCAACAAGCTTCTTGCTTGTGGACATGTGCCTCAAGCTTGAACGAGGTGCACATGGGTCAGCGACTTCAAGAAAACAGGGAAGGCGCTTTTGCAAAGGGTTGACTTGGAGTCCGGCAGTGCCGGAACACCGACCGGCTCAGGCAGAGCCACCACCCGGGCGACACATCACTGTCGCACACGAGGCTGCGTTGCTTGGCCTTAGTATTCAAACAAGCTGAGCGCTGAGAGCGATGCCACAGAGCCCAGCCAGACTTGTCATTCGGCGGCTCTCGCTCAGATGGGTATTTGCACGACGGTCCGTCTTATGATCTCACTTACGAAGTTTGCAGGTTCAACTGTGCGAGACTGTTACTGCGCATGAAGTTCTTCGGTTAGGCATTATGTGATTTCTTTCTCGAGAGGCTGTTCATTAGACCGAGCAACAATGGGCTTGAATGGCCCAGGCTTAACGAGAATATGTGAGACGGCCACGTGAGTACAACCTGCCACCGTGGATCAACAATGCTCGGGGAAGGGAGAGAGTTGTGCCTGTGCAGCAGTTGAAACACGTCTCACGTTGCATTTTTGAGCTTCTTTTTGCCCAAGAGAAGTTGCTCTGCAGCCAACTGGATGGTCTCAATTCCGCGCATGTCAACGCATGAACATTTCCAAAGGTGCATGAAGATCACGGAAGGACAAGCATGCTTTCCGACCCGAAGAGCTTGTTTTGACATGTGTCAACATTCTGTTTCCTGTCGTAAGTCTGACTATAGGTCCAATAGTCGGTCGGAGTGGGGCCAGCCAAGCAACTCAAGCACTTCAAGCAACTCCTCTACGGCAGTGACTTCAGCTAGTCCTACAGATCGGGTTGTTATGCATGTGCATGAGAGATGGCAAGGCGCTGTCCAGGCCGACTCTCGCTTGACATTGCCCACGTGTCACTGAACTCTCGCAGGGTCTGGACTTCTACGGACCCGCCAACCCAGAGAGGCCTCGAGCGCAACGCGCGTCAGGGCACCTTGGCCGTCTCGGCAAGGGACAAACGCTGAGAGCATCAGGGCACTCCAAGCATGATCAAGCGGCATGATACTGATTCGCAAACTGAGTCACTTCCCCTCCAGAAAAAGCTACCGTACGGCAGAGCATGGACTTGTTGGCAGTTCAAAAGAAGAAACCATCAGCAAGCACGGTAAGCAGCTGACGCTCACGCAGATCCAATCTCCTGAGCGACAAAAATGGACACGAGTGCACCCAGGCACAGCTGGCATCGCTCTCGTTGGAGGCCAGCGACGCTGGCCGCGACCTCAGTGTCGGAATGTAGCAGGGGGATGGGATGATGGAGTATGGAAGAGAGGCACAGCAGAGGATCATGGAACCTCGAGGCATAGAAGATCAGGTGCCAGACAAAACTGCAATGCTTATTACTTGCTGAGGTTGTGCTGTGTGTCGGCAGCGAGCTTGCTACGGCCAACGAGCTGGTCGACTGCTCGAGGACCTGGCCTAAAGCTTATGCGGAGAGAGCACTCAGTGCCCACTTTCTGCTGCGCGGTTTCGTAGAAGGAGCCCAGACTGCTCCGCTCTTCGGCGACAGCTTACGCCTGAGAGACAGAGTCACTGCTTTGCACTTGCTTGAGTTTGCGAGCTGGTACTGGTACGGCATGACAAGAGGCCATGCTCCGAAAGAGGCTCCGTTTCCAACGCCTGCGGCTGGCTTACAACAAGCTTGCTCTTCATGAGTTTGCAACAGTTGTCCGTTAGCATCTTTATTGCTCTGTTCGCCACTGACTTCGAGTCTTCACGAGTCCTCCCCGAGCCCCTTGAAGCTTAAAGCCGCGTGGATTAATCACAGGGATGGCTAGCCTTCCCCGTATATCTGCCGCCGACCGCATGCTCCTTCATCGGCATGCCTTGAAGGCTCAGCGGGAACATGCAGGTACACCTTGCAGTTTGTTTTCGGTTGCGCACGTTCATCATCTGAGTTTTAAGCCGGAAAGCAGCTACGAACGAAAGAACGTGACGTACTGCCTGCATCGTCGATCAGATCGTTACTGCAGCTTGTACTGTACCCCTGGCTCCCCTGGCGATCAGATTACATCACCAAGAAGTGCACATAGGTAGCCTTCAGCATCTCTTTCGTTTGCTCAGGCGGGGACTGCCTACCGGGCACATGGGGAGGCCAGAACTTCCACCTTAGGTTCTTAGCATGCGATCGTATGAGTATGGCAAGCGTGCTTGATCAGGTCTCGGCCCGCTGAACACAGGCCAGTCAGAACGCGCAGTCGCACATCTATCATCATCTACCCATTTTGTGCACTGTTCCTTTGCAGTCTGCCTCTCCAAAACCGCTTGCGCCGTCATCTACTCGGGCGAGGACACGACATGTGAGCTCGCTTGACCCCTTGTGTATCGTAAGCTTGTGTGCCAAACTGCCGGTGAATCGCTCGTCCCAGTGACACAAAGGGCTTCTGCGAGGGGCAAAACGGCAAAAAGCGTCAAAGGCAAACAAAAAGATGAGGGCAAGCGGAAGCGGACGGAAGCGGACGGAAGCGGAAGCGACGTCTTGGCCCTGGCGCGGAAGGCGAAAGGTTGCGAGGCAAGGGAGAGGTGCCGGACAGTTTGAAGCCAGAAGGACGCCTTAAAGCTGGGATGTTCCTGAGCCAGAGTTGGTAGACTCTGAGCATCTTTGAGCTGTCTGGTCGAAGCAAGTCGTAGTTTGACCCTCGCGAGCATAAGCGCAGCTTGTGGCCTGTTGCGTCGCGATTCGATGTCTTGCCCGGCACAGGACACTTGTGACTATGGGCCAGAAAGCGACATGAGCATTCCATTCATTTCCCCTTTCGGGAGGCAGAATTGGTCAAGCGTCGTCAAGCATTCACTACAAGATGACACATGATACATCAATTGTCCCATTCCGCTGTAGGTGTGTTTGTGATCCTGGCGATGGCCTTCTGTGGCCGACAGCGCCTGGAAGGTGCTGCCCTTACGCTCTTGTCATCGATGAGGGAATTAATGCGTAGCCGGTTTCTGTCGAGGGCCCTGCCTTGCTCCAAGGGCTGGTCGTGGCCCCTTTGGATTTCTTTTCTACTGAGAATTGTTGTCTACTCCAGGACAGTCGCACTTTTCCTCGGCTTTTCCCTGCACATGTTCATGTCTTCAATCAGCTTCCCATGTCGGGGGCCGGGATGGAAAACTGAAATGCTTGATAAGGTGTGCGCAGGTGACACTCCGCCTAGCGAACGGGCTGGGGCAATATGAGGACTGAGAATGCAGCCAAATGATCTGGAATGATCTGGTAGATTTCCGTGGAGGTCCAGCAGTGCTCCTCCCGCACATGTGAAGCTGCCACCTGCACGCCTTTGGCACTTTGGTCCCCGGTTTGCTCCTGAAGCGGGAGTGAACGGAGTGAACAGACGGATTCGTACGGTTCTGGACTGCTGGAGTCAAGGTCCTGACGCAGACGTCTCGAAACGCTAGTTTCACGTGCCAGTCGACAGGCTTTGCTTTTGGCATGACCTGAGCTTCGAGCGGGGTATGCGAGATTGTGCTAGCAGGTGAAGACGCCGTGCAGCTCCTGGATGACTGTACTGCCCTGACCAGCCATCCCTGCCTTGCTTAGTGCTTAGTCTTCGTATGTCTTCGTGCCTTGCTTTCGCCTGAGTGCCAGGTCGACTTTCGCCTTCGTCCTTGTGTGGCCATGCAGGGTTCACCGCAACAAGTACCGTCTTCGATGCTTCAGGCACGACCTCCGAAACAGAGAGAGAGAGACTCCGCTGTAGCCATTTTGCCTCAAGTGCCGCACATTTGCTTGGAGGGTTGTTCGCCCTCCTTGCATAGGGGTGGAGGCGGGGGGTTAACCTGGACTGTTACTCCAGGGGAGCCTTCCCGTCTTCGCCTGCGGTGCTTGAGACCACACGCTGTTGCCACTTTGCTCCAGTGGCCCAGTCCGTGCTTTAGGAACTCGCGCCATATTCGAGGAGGGGAAGTTTGTGCTATCTTCTTCACTGTGCGTGACCTCGACACTGCAAGAGCTTCACCTTCGTGGCATTAGCAGAGGAGGATACAAACGCTCATTCCGAAGGACCCTGTGATTGCGCTGCCGCTGTTCCCGCTGTACCTCCTGACCGGACTGGGGAGTACAACATTTCAGTGTTCGTGACTTGGGCAAGAAGGGCGACATCGTGAAGATTACAATGGAGGGGAGGTGCAGAATTTGCAGATACGGGGGAGGAGCTTGTGTTATTGGGTTCCGAAAGTCCCACGACAGAAGTGACCCGCCACACAGTCACCCGCACCACGCCGTGAACCTCCTGGAGCAGATTGGGGACAACGAAGGAGCCGACAAGGGGGAGACAGCTGGGCGACGACCGTCTCAACCCGGCCGCTTGCTGAGATGACTGCCTTCGAGACACGGAAAGGCCTGACCTTACTCTGCGAACCGGAACCGCTTGCTGAGTGGATTGGGAAAGAAGAACAAGCAGACAGCAGAGGACGACCCGAAGACATGGAGACCGGGGGGATACACGAGCGAAAGCGTGCCAACGGCGACACGAAGAACGCAACGTGGAGGGGAGACTGGCTGATAAGCTGTTCCACATCGTCGAAAAGTACCTAGCTATGCAAGCCAAGGAGACAAGAATACATGTGGGGCGCTTCCCTCAACACGTCAGAAAGTTGCTGCACCAAGCGAGACGCACTCGTGACAAGCTATGCAGAAGACGTGAGGGGGAAGCCGCAACATCACCAACAACCACGAGGAGACCAGTGCAGACACGAGGGAATCCTAGCCAAGCAGCCTCGGCACAGACAGTGCATGCGACAACGGAGCGCAGCGAAGCATATGACATATGAAACATCTTGAGCTTCATGAGAGAAGAGCACCACCAACCACGGACGATGAAAGCCCTCCGGACTGGGGGGGGGGAAGCATGGATGCCGACGAGGAGGAAAGCCAGACCCTCGACAACTGGCCATGGGGGGCGGAAGGGCGACCTTCGGACCGCGGTCGCAGCGCAGGTGTTCTCGCTCAGCGCCCTAATGCACCCTCAGGGGAACCTTGCCATGCCGAGCCCGACCGAACGAAGATCGGGGAGCGCAGCTCGTCCCAAATAGCATGTGGCGGGACGTCCAGCAGGTGCAGCAACACATGGCACGAGCACGTGAAGACAACAGGAGCAGGCGGCAGTGAAGGAGGGGATTTTCCCCAACCGTTTTGACTTTGCCGGTGGGAGACGCCCCACCTTGGACACCAGCTCACGCTCCGGAAAAAAGCTCGACGATGACTTCTGAACCGGGGGATGTCTGAGAGCATGCATAGGAAGTGAGCGGACAATCCGCGAATGCATAGTCTGTTTCGCTGTGAATTCGTTAACGAGCAAACCTTTTCTCAGGTAAACCTGCGTTCACTGGCCCAACCTGGCCACCCAATGCTCGATTCTTTTCAACTCACCGTTCCGAACTCGTGTATATCGAACTTGAATTCAGGGGGGAGGAGGCTTAATTCAGTTTCAATCCGTCTGTGGATCTTCCCATGTAATTCCCATTCACCTTGTGAGGGGATGGCATGTTTTTCCTCCTCTTCCCAGGCTGGCAGGGCTTGTGAGGGGGTTGCGTTTGCAATACATGTGTTGGTACCTGATCTTACTTTCTGCGAACCCTGCCAGTCCCTTCTGTCCAGCCGAGCCCTCGTTAGACAATGCCTAAAGGGGGAAGCAGGCACCCCGAGAAGCGCGGGTGCGCGCTCGCGCACGGAGTGGGGGGAGGACCGCCCCTTGCTCCTGGCCTGGTAGAAAGAGAGAGAGAGAGAGAACAAGAGACTCCCACTGATCATCGGCACCCGACCTTCATATCTCATACTCCTCGATTACCCTTTGTCATCTCAAACGCTGTAGTGCATCAGCCGGGGGCAGTCCTTTCTTTGCCAAGCAGCCTTTGCACACCACTTTACTTCGGTCCGCACCTTAGTTTCGTGTTGTTTGCATAACAACCTAGCTTGGTGTTTGGCAACGGGCAACTCTTAGTACGTACAAGGGAAACGTTCCTAGTATAACCGAGCCTCCCTGCAGCAAAACTGCGGGGGGAAGCTAAAGGCGCAGGTGCGCGTCCGCGCGCCGGGGGTCGGGGCTGAACGCTCCCCGGCTCTTTGCCCAAAACGAGGGCAAGACAGAGAGATGACGTGTGCGCCTTTCAAAGGGGGGACGAGGAGCGCCCGCACCCTCCGGGTCCGCGTCTCTGCGCAGGCGAGGCTCCCGTGGACTGTGAGCTCGGTCCGAGCTGCCCCGAGAGCGTCCTGGACACCAGGCCAGGGCCGGTTGCAGCTGCGCCGCTGCTCTCTTTCGCATGGCACAGGCTGGAGCAGTCTTGCTGCTTTGGCACCCTCTGGTCGCGAACCCATCTGCTATGTACTAGACCTTTGTGTTTTGCAAAGCTTGTGATGCACAATTTCAAGGTCCCTCAAGCTGGATTCTGCGGGTCAGGACGAGCTGTGCCGTTTTGCAGTTTCAGTATACCGAAGCGCAGCAATGCGCAGCAGATGGTCTGAAGGCAACAGGCGATGTAGCGCCTGGATTCTGCCAGATGGTCTGGGAGGCTTGGCACTTTCGTAGTGACAATCGCACGCGATATCACAGCACCTGTGCGTGGCTGCTGTGTTGCCGTGCAGCAGCAGTATCAGTAGCCAGCTTGAGGCGTTTAGTGTGTGGTTTTTGGAAACCCAGGAGTAACTAGTGAGTGCAATGGTAGTAATATGTCAGATCTTGCAAGGTTTCGTTGCATGAAAATGCCTTCGTTAGAACATTTACAGTGAAATCCATGTACAAGTACCCCATCCCGCGAGAGTAGCTTACCCTGAGGTTCTTATTTTCCATTTCCTCTGAATTACCGGCTGAGGAGTTAGGGTAGGCTAAAGTTTTTAGTCGCGTTCTTATTTAGACAAAGCATGCACTTTGAGCCAAAATGGCCGTGGTATCTAGTCTCCCCTGCCCCCACCTCTGCCCGGGACCCCTGACACAAATTCTTTTTTGCCTTTGCCCACTCCTGCCCCCAACCCCACCCCAGCCCTGCCTGCTGCTGCCCGGGGGCAAAAACCTAATAGTGTCGGATACTAATTCGTTTTTGCCCCCGGGCGGCGGCAGGCGGGGGTGGGGTGGCAACCGCCAAAATGAGACACCTGTACCCCTAAGGTTCACATTTCCGGTGTTTTCATAACAAGCCAAGCCACAACGAAGCCACTTCCACAAAAAATAAGAGCCTGATCCCAAAAGCTAGGGTACCCCAAGGCCCTAAGGTTCTTGATTTTGAAGCAACCCCAATTTTGTGAAACCCTTCGGGGGTAGGGGCTAAGGTTCTTGAACAGTGGGTTCTTATACAGGACATCGCTGTAGAACTTAGAAGTCAAGCTTCAATCCAAACCTTGGCCTTGGCCTTGACCATATGATCATATGATTCACAGTTCGTTTTGTTTGTGGGCATGTCGAAGTTTTCTCATGGTTTCTGATGGGGGCAGAATGAAAACACAAAGAAACGCGCGACAGCAGCACGTTTGACCTTTGGCAACTTTGAGGCGAGCAGTGCCTGGCGACGGAAACGCATTTTTTGCAGCGCCAGAGCTGTTGTCGTGAGTCATGGTAGTCACAACAAGGTTAACAGAACGACAGCGAGCACGATTGGAACACCCCATGTTGAAGGGGGTATACATTTTGTAGCATCGGAGCTTGTCGTATCTTGCATCACAGCCCTATCCGGTGTTGTTTTCAATTTGGTTGCTGCAGTGTGCTGCTGCTGCTGTTACTCCTAGTACGACAGCAAGTGCTCCAGCACTCTTCGGTGGCTGGCGAAGGTCAGTGCAACAATAGTAAAGTACCGCCACTTCTCCTCGTCTGGAAGGACACACGACATGCAAAGGTACATGTGTAGCCTGTATAGCAGTGGAAGTGCCGCACAGAGGGGACTAAGATTACAAAGGACAGAAAGACAACCGGTTTCCCGCTTGCCTGGGTTTCATCGCATCTGCTGGGAAACCAAGATGGGAAGCTGTAAGAAAGAAAAGGATAACATCACTCCGGACGAGCAAGTAGTAATGGGGTAATCTGCAATACAAATACCAATGGTGACTATCCCTGATTCAGGAGCGCCTCGCAGGGGCGGCAGCAGCAGCAGCAGCAGCAGCAGCAGCAGCAGTAGCAGTAGTAGGAGTAGTAGTGGTGGTAGTAGTAGTAGTAGTAGGCGCCCCCCCCCCCCCCCCACCAACCACCTCTGCTGCC